CTCAAACCTTAATTATAAAAACCGATAACCGGCTTGCCAAAAAAAAAACGATATTAACATCCATAGTTATTATCAACCTACAATAACAGACCAGTGCTACTCAACCTACTATAACAGGCCAGTGATACTAGTATTACCCGTCAAAAATGATGGTGCTGCCACACATTGACACTGTTATAGTCCCGCCATGTTTGCCAACAGTCCGTAAATTTATGAAATTTCACAAAAGCAAACAACCGCCTAAAAGTGCCAATTTTATTAAATCTCTATTGAAATTGTTCTGCGATCTTTACAAACTTGGTCCCCATTCTCTACCCAGTGAGCGACAGTAATGATCAACTATGAATTCTTTTTCGCCAGCGACAATTCCATTTCAAAACAACTGCCCAACCTAAATTCCATGTCACTACTAGGAACACGTTGCAGTTGGAGCCATGCACCGTCGACAAACGCATAGTAGCGTACAAGATGCGGGAGTTTCAGTACTGCTATAACCTTTGGCGGGAGTTTCAGTTCTGTTACTTTTGGTGTGCGTTTCAGTACTGTTACTTTTGCTGTGCGTTTCAGTACTGTTACTTTTGGTGTGAGTTTCAGTACTGTTACTTTTGGTGTGAGTTTCAGTACTGTTACTTTTGGTGTGAGTTTCAGTACTGTTACTTTTGGTGTGAGTTTCAGTACTGTTACTTTTGGCGTGAGTTTCAGTACTGCTACATTTTGGCGCATACTGTAGACATGTTAAATACAGAGCCATGAACGAACAGATGGCGTTCAAATAAACTACTTCTGTATATGTATAAAGTTATACCTTATCATTGCTACATGATCTTATGTTCTTTGGTTATTGTAACAGCACCACTTATCATATAATGGACTAGAGCACGACTTATAAAATGGAATAGAGCAGCACTTATCATATAATGGACTAGATAGGCAATTATCATGTAGTGGACTAGATTACCACTTATCATATAATGGACTAGAGCCCCACTTATCATATAATGAACTAGAGCACCATTTATCATATAATTAACTAGAGCATCACTTATCATATTACGAACCAGAGAATCCCCTTTCTTTTAAATTTGGAACGCCTGAGCGTCCCCCTCCATTTCTCCAATTGTACACTCTTTATGCTGCTACACCATGCATTATTTCTCTCTCATTACAACTCTCCTCTAACCCTCCATTTTTATCCAGTGGTTTAGCTAGAGTTGGTGCCTCCCGGTGGTGGCCAAGCTTTTTGCCACCCCTTAAACAAAAACAACAAGCTCTTTAGTTGGCGAAATATGTCACCTCTAAATGTACAGAGGGTAACATTGGGACAATGAAACATTCCGACAACTCCTGCGACGCCACTGGTGCCAAGCTGTATCATCCACATGATGTTCCCTTGGGTTATCCAGTGGCGTGGAGAGAGGCGATTTGCTGTTGGGAACCAGCTTATAATGCTAGAAGAATAATCCCAGGCCTTGTGGATTTCGCCCTGCGAAGTCTTCACCCTTGTCACATTGTGACGGACGGATGCCAGCAAAAAATGTACAGAAAAAAAGTGTTGCCCAGGGCGCACCTCCCCCCCTTTCTGACCCATTTCCTACTTCACTGCTCTTACCCCCCCCCCTTTTTTTTCCCCAAACCACCCAACAGTTACACCAAAAGCCTTACACCCTGTTGTCGACCCCCTCCTCCACCGCTGATAATGTTATCAGCACCATATTGTGACTGCCATTTTGTATCTAAAGCGCTGTCTATTTTTACGATTGCCAGCCCCATACCAACGGAAACAATCGGTCATGTTATTCCTTCTATAGTCTCCCAAACAAGAGATAGAAATATCTTATCTTTGCAATGCGCCCCATTCAAGGCAATCGTACCAGCCGTCAATGACAAAAATGTATAGCATAAATCTGAACACCATGCCACAAAGTTTACCAAAGATAAGCTTTTCAGCAACAAATCTAAGACGTTTGATTCTTTTCATTATATTTAATCCAGTTAAGGGCGTTTCAAGTTAACAAACGTCTAAATTCTCTGTTTGCTGCAGTGGATCGATGAATTGTTTGGTTTGTGTGGATATAATATGCATACCTTATAGGCTGTTAGGCAACTTGGAATTGTGCCTCTCACAATGTTCAAAATGATGAACTGTCAGAAATGCTTCACATCGCATCCTGGAATCCATATCTCAATTAATTGGTTAAATAATATTCTTAACTTTTCAAACTATTGCAAACCAGTTCCAAAAAAAAACTGTGGGGGTGGGGGGATAATAGGTGCTAGTTAGTTGTCCACCTCTTTAAGAACTATATGATTATAATAAATTATATCATTTCGTTTCTTTGCAAAATGTTACATATTTTTTTGCATTCTGCCTTTTAGTCTGAATCAACTGTTAAATAACACAATGTTTGTGAGATTTTAAGTTAATACTTTTTGTGATGTGTGTAAATTAGTACAAACTTTTGAATACATTCACCTGTAATCTAAAGCAGTTACGAGACAAGCCATTTGGACCGGTAATGTCTTATGGATGTTGGTGATGACACCCTTTCTCAACTGGCATCCTTCCTTACTGACACCCTTTCTCAACAGCCACCCTTTTCACCTTCCACCCTTTTTTTACCTCCAACCTTTGTCACATGCCATCCTTTCTCACCTGTCACCCTTTCTCACATGCCACCCTTTCTCACATGGCACCCTTTTTCAACTGCCACCATTTCTCACATCCACCCTTTCTCACCTGCCACCCGTTCTCACCTTCCACCCTTCCTTACTGAACCCTTCTCACATTCCACCCTTCATTACTCCCAGTCTTTCTCACCTGCTACCCTTTCTCACATACCACCGTTTCTCACATTCCATCCTTTCTCACATGGCATCCTATCTCACCTGCCACCCAATCTAACCTGCCACCCTTTCTCACCTGCAACCCTTCCTTACTGCTAATCTTTCTCACCTGCCATCCCTTTCACACATGCCACCCTATCTCACATGCCACCCTTTCTCACCTGACGCCCTTTCTCACAAGCCACCCTTTCTCACCTGTTACCCTTTCTCACATGCCACCCTTTCTCACCTGCCGCCTTTTCTCACCTGCCACCCTATCTCAAATGCCACCCTTTCTCACCCGCTACCCTTTCTCACCTGCCACCCTATCTCACCTGCCACCCTTTCTCAACAGCCACCCTTTCTCACTTGCAACCCTTTCTCACATGCCACCCTTTCTCACCTGCCACCCTTTCTCACCTGCAACCCTTTCTCACCTGTCGCCCTTTCTCACATGCCACCCTTTCTCACATGCCACCCTTTCTCACCTGCCACCCTTTCACATGCCACCCTCTCTCACACGCCACCCTTTCTCACA